TTTTCCTCTTCCTTCTTTCTTGCTTTTGTCCTTTTCTTCATCCCAGTTCCTTCCCTTTAAAGACTTCTTTCCTGGGCTGGGGAGATAGCTCAGTAGAATAAGTGCTTGCCTATGAAGCGCAGCATACTGAGTTCAATCCCCGGTACCAAAAAAAAAAGTACTATAAAGACTCTTTTCCTTTTACAGTATCTATTGTACATTTCAGATTTTATTTACTTCTTCAGATTTTCACACTAGTGAGACAATGCAATATATGCACATGCAGATCTGATTTATTTCACTTAAGAGTATGATCTCTAGTTGCATCCATATCTTTTTTGTAAAAGCCCCGAATTTATCTTTTTTTTTATTTTGTTCACATTTAGTTTTTTTATAATTTTCTTTCATTTTGAAGAGTAAAAAAAGAGAAAGAAAAACAAAAGCAAAGAGAAACAGGGTAACTAGACAATACACATGTTACAGATCTTCAAAACAAGACTATCTGATCAACAGTGATTAATATATTATTTATTTTTATCATCAAATCTGTTACTCAGATGAACAGATATAGTTATGGAAGATGGGACATATGATTGAATATTACCATATGCTTCCAAGAAATCTTAAATTTTTGTTCTTATCTCTCATTTTTTCTTTATTGCCTTTTTTTAAAACCAACAACAAAAGTTGGAGAGGCTGTGGGGTAAAAAGAAACCCTTCTCCACTGCTAGTAGGAATATAGACTGGAGCAATCATTGTGGAGATCAGTGTGGAGATGCCTTAAAAACTAGGACTGGAAATCCCACTCAACCCAGCTATCCCCTCTTCTGGGAATTTTCTCAAAAGAACTGAAAATATCATATCATAGTGATATATGTGTGCCCATGTTTATAGCAGCACAAATTGTGATAGCCAGATCTTGGAAACAACAAAAATCCTTGTTACCTTAGGAATAGATGAAAAAGATGTGGTATTTTTACATAATGGAGTATTACTCAGCTATAAAGAAAAGTAAACTTGAAGACTTTGCAGGTAAGTGGGTGAAACTTGAGGCTATACTCATAAGTGAAACAAACCAGACCTACATGGGTAAAATATGCTCTCTCCCTAGTGTAAGAACTCAAAAGAATTTATCTGTTTTATAGCTGAGTAATCCTCCATTGTGTAAAAATACCATATCTTTTTTGAATCGTTCCTCACTTGATAGACATTTGGGTTGTTTGCATGATTTAGCTATGACAAATAGCATTGCTATCAACATGGATGCATGTATATCATTGTGCTATGATATTTTCAGTTCTTTTTGTATGAGCAGAAGATATTTATTGAGAGAAAGAAAGCTCCTGTCCTGAGAGAGCGACGGGGGGTGGGGGGGTTAATGGGTAATTCCCCCCCCCCCAAAGCTGTCTCTTGCAGGGACTTTTATAGAGAAAAACCATGTGGTGAGGTGGGTCTAAGGTGGTGGAGAAGACATGGGAACTTGTTTAGTTGGGCATGAGGTGGGACCAAACTATGGTCAACCACTGAGATTACAAGCACCATTGCTCAGGTAAAATTGATTAAATCCAGTATCAAATGGGAAAGTGAGTCACATAGCAAGCGGGCACGGATATGGAACAGGGTCTCTTCCTGTTGAGGGTTGGGCTAGTGAATCATTTGAGCTCTTTCAAGTTGATTGATACTATTTAGGATATCAATCCCTAATGCCCATCCCTAGGGAAGTATGTAGCTGTGCTTCCTCTTTTTGTCTTGGTCTTGAGGTGTGGCCCATATGGGAGTATCTGTTTCTTCCAAGTTGCAAAGTCACCTTGTCTTCCATCTTGTCTCCTTGAGGGCCTGGGATATTTTCAGTTCTTTTGGAAAAATACTCAGGAGGGAAATAGCTGGGCTGAATGGGATCTTCATTCCTAGCTGATACCAAAACCAGAGAAAGACCCAAACAGAAAAGACCAATCTTCCTATGAATATAGATGCAAAAATCCTCAGTAAGACACTAGCAAACAGAATGCAATAAATCATCAAGAAGATTATAAAATATGACCAAGTGGTAGTCTTCCCAGGAATGCAGGAAGTTTAATATATGTAAATCAATATGTAATATATCACATCAGTAGAGCCAATGACAAAAAATTACATGATCATCTCAGTCGATGAAGTAAAAACTTTTGAAGCATACTTTTAACAAGCTCCCATTGCTAAGTTACTGGAATATCTTTATCATCTAACAACTTGAAAGAAATTAACCCATATACTACTTTAAGGGACAAATGATAGGAAATAGACACTTTAGGTCTTGACACTAGAATAGTTCTGCTTGACCCAGGTACACAGGATCCTTGTGTTCCACAGAGTCCCATGCTTTGAAGAACTTTCTAAGAGATGTTCTAAATCTTTTCCCATTGAAGTGGCCAGGCTTACCAGTACTATTTGGACAGAATAACTGAGCTTAGAACAAGACCTATGTGGTCCTTAGTCATGTTTCTTCTTTTACAGTCATCCTTTGGTTGGTTTTCAAATAGACAGGGTTGACCAGATGCCTCAGAGACTCTATGCTTTTCATCTAAGGACTCTCCATAGCAAAGTCCCAGTTATGAGAGGACAATCATCCCACTTCTCAGAAAAAGATGTTTTT